TTGCTGTCTTTTTCTTTTAGTTCCTCATTTTTTCATTCTATTTTCAGAGTGGTTAGACTTGTCTCCAGACTCTTTGTTTTTAATTCCAGATCCTTAACTTTTTCCTCAAATGCTTCAATTAGTTTATATTTAGAACAGAAGCAACAAAGAGTTGTCACTGAGGCTCAAATATCCAGACTCAAATTATTCTACTTTGGACATATTATATGAAGACCCAGCTCCCTGGGTCTGATGGTGGGAAAAGTGGAAAGGAAGGGAAAAAGAGGATGATAAGCAGAAAGGGAACTGGACTTAATTACAATGGAACTGACCCCCACAATTAGGGGGTCTTGAAAGATCACATTAGGGATAGATTGTCATAAAGAAAATCTATTTAGGTGGTCACTAGGAGATGAAAATTATTTAATGGCACATAATCTATTAGAAAAATAAACAATAACCAGTGAGGGAAGGTGCCTTTTGAAAGAAAAGGAACTCTCTTTATTCTTATCCCTCATGCATACAAAGCTCTAGTTACCAAATCTTGGAAGCCTGATAATAGTTAAACCCCACCTTCCCTCTTGCTCCCAACGCTTGTTCATGTGGAATCAAAGTTTCTTTCCAATGTTGTGTTCATCTCCTTGACTTTCCTGAACTGCCATTGTGTAGTTTTCCAAGATCATCTCTGTGGTTCTCTAGTGGAATTAAGAATTACCCAGTAACAGAGTTGGAATGGACCTTAGAGATCTAACTCCTAAAACAGACATGAACCTTGCAGATTTGAAGTTACTTCACTTCCCAGTCTCCCTTTTGCCAAAAAATTGGGAGGGTGGTTTCTCTTGAGCCTTTTGCTCCATGTACATTCCCATTATGGGCTAACCTGCCTTTTAACTATGTTTCTTTGGTTGTGTTCATTGCCTTGTCTCCCAAGGTCTTTCCCACATGCCATTGCAACTAATGCCTTTAATAATTGTAACCCCAATATGTCTTGGCCAAAGTCGAGGGGGGCAATGAGAAGCCAGTAATAAGAGGGAGAAGCTTTCCAGATGTTCTCTTCCCACCCCCCACAGCCAAACTCTTCATCCCCTCCTCTTGACACCACTCTAAAGCCCTGGACTCTTCTTCTTTCCTTTGCTCCATTTTCTGTTCTCTTCCTTTCTTATAGATAAAATCACTGCCTACTCCAAACATAAACCAATCCAGTTATTCTTAACACTGAACACAGACAAAAAACCCCCACTACTTTAAATCTAAAGAAGGCATCATTAAATGCAGAGGGGAAAAGGCTGCTGCTTCTCCAGCTGATTCCCCAGAGCCACCCACAAAACAACTTTGGGTCCAGAAATGAGGGGCGAAGGGTGCATGCATTTCCTTAACCTGAAGCGTCTTCAGCCACCCACAGATTCCTAGGCAAAATGCACACATTCTTTAGTAGAAAACAAGATGGTAGAAAGATCAAGAGTAACTGTAAAGAGAACAGAATTTGAAAATAAGGACTTACAGAATCTACTATAGTTAAATCGAGAGAGGGGAAGGGTGTACACAAATGCTTACTTGCTCTTCTAAAAGGAGTAGCTGTCAGGGATCTCCACGCAGGCTGAAACGGATCTCTGCCCAAAGAATCCGGTTTCCTCGGACAGAAGGACTGAATCGCCTTTATATACCCTTAAGTGCAGCATGCACAGTTTTTCTTAGAAATAATAAAACAATAAAACAATAAAACGTTCCTGCCATTTCCTATCACATACAGTGCTAATCAAAATCCAGGTTCCTACAGATACCAGTGGTAAAAAGAGTTACTTTATAAAAAAGAAAAAAAAATAGCATTGGATTGCCTTCAGTTTAGTTTTTTTTTAAATACAGATAGTCCTCGACTTACAACCATTCATTTAGTGACCATTTGAAGTTACAACTTAACTGAAAAAAGTGACATTTGAGCAGCTCTCATACTTACAACTGTTAGAAACGTGATTAAAACACTAACAAAATTGGATTGTAAGAAAAGGGTTTACTCTGCAGAAAATAGAAAAAGCAGTTTGCAAAGTGCAGTGAATCTCTGAGAGAAACTTCAACAGGAATTTCTATAACAGAGACCACACTCAAACATTCAAATTCACAGCATTATATACACTTCTATCGTGAAGCCCCCCTCCCCTCCCCTTCGGTCCCGTTTAAAAGGACTTCAGAGGGCACAATCTTATTCGAGATGCCTAACCAGAATACATCATCCCTCCCCCTGATTGCATCTGTTTCAAAACTTCCCCTGGCCACCCTTTTGTCTTGTTAAGTCCATCATAAGAAAAGGGGAGAGGGGATACAGAGGCAATAAACAAAGGCAATAAACAAAGCAAATAGAGGAAGCAATAACCCTGCAGGCACATCCCCCCTCTCGGGAGAGATAGAATAGGAATGGGTTCTGACAACCGTTTTATTTTTAAACTTCTGTGTTGCTCATACAACCATCCCAGCATCCCTGGAGTTATGTGATCAAAATTCGGGAACCTGCTGATGGGCATATATTTATGATACATGCACCGAAGCCTGGAAGCCCGGTGAGCTGGGAAGGAGCCGCTCCTGCCCTTCAGCCCCAGGGCCGTGCCGGGCGCCAGAGGGCCGAGGCGGCTTCCAACAGCGAGAGAGGTGGGCCGGGCGGCGCGGGGGAGGCTCCGGCATGGGGTGGAGCGCGGCCAGGGGCAGAGCGCGGCCAGGCAACCAGGAGGCGTGGGGACCGGCTCAGCGCCGCAGCTCAGCGCAGCCAGCAGCGGTGGCAGCAGCGGAGTAGCCCAGCGGCAGCTGAGCCTGCCTGGGGCGGCGTTGGGGGCACGCACGATGGCGCTGCAGTGGCAGGAACATGCGCTGTCGGAGAAGGGCGCCCTGGAGGCGGAGGAGCCAGCGGAGAAGGAGGAGGAGGGTGGCGGCGACCGGATGGAGTAACGGTGTCTCGGTTCCTAAGACCATCGGTAATATGTGTTTTCCGATGGTCTTAGGCGACCCCTGTGAAAGCGTCATTCGACCCCCAAAAGGGTCGCGACCCACAGGTTGAGAACCGCTGAAATAAAGGAAGCAATAACCCCGCAGGCACATCCCCCCCCCTCGGGAGAGATAGAATAGGAATGGGTTCTGACAACCATTTTATTTTTAAACTTCTGTGTTGCTCATACAACCATTGCAGCTTCCCTGGAGTTATGTGATCAAAATTCGGGAACCTGGGCATATATTTATGATACATGCAGCATTCGAAGCCCTGGGATTGCCATTTGCAGCCTTCCCAGCTGGATTCCAACAAACAAACAGGATGGAGCAAGCCAGATTCACTGGACGACCTCATGATTCACTTAACAATTGTGGCAAGAAAGCCTGTAAAGTCAGGTGTGACTCACTCAGCAACGTCCTTGCTTAGTAACAGAAACCCTCGCCTCAATGTGGTCCTAAACTGAGCAGTACCTGTAGAAGCACAGGAGAATGAACGGTGAATCCAGACTCCTCAGGACACAAGGACTGAATCCCACTTACACACTCTTACGTGGCATAGGAAGTACTTCTTGGAAATGTAAGGTTTTTCAATGGAAATATGTAAGGTTTTTCAGCTCAGAATCCAAATAAATCCCAAAGAGACTCTGAAAAAGGAGGCTACTGAAAACAAAACAGCTTTATTTCTTTTGATTAAAAGGAAAGCCTGTGGGCTCCTAATCGCTTGTCTCTAACGCAGAGAGACGGAGGAGAAAAGAGAGACACACACTAACAGAAGTTTCTCCTTTTATAACTAGAGCATTTTCTTAACATTACAAGGTTCCTGCGCTCTCTAAGCTCTGCATACACAGTGGTTGGCAGCCAGCCCAAAAACTTTCACTTGTTAGTGTCCAAGCTAAGCTGCGGCAGAGAAGCAAAGGGATAAATTTTAAAACCACAGCAGGGAAGTGAAGCTTGCGAGTCAAAGAAAGGGGGGGGGACAATATACTGCAAGCTATAGCAGACACATTTAGAGTTATAGCTAAGCATTTTCTTTCTCCTTGGTTAGCACAATTTTTGCTAAGTTATCTCTGAGCAAAGTACAGAGCGCAAACAAGAAAGAATGAACCATGGCTGGGTTATACATAAAAGATTACATTTTGAGAGATCACCTTTTTATCTTTCAGAAATAATAAAACCTTCCTATAATTTCTTATCACATACAGTCCTGCCTATCAAAGTGCAGGTTTCCTACAGGTATCAGCAGTAAAACAGCTGCTTTACAAGAAAAAGAAAGTAGCCTTAGACTGCCTTACGTTTTGCTTTCCTGTAAATTGCAGATGCTGCAGAAAAATGGCAGGGTTTCTCAAGCTTGGCAACTTTTCAGATGGGTGGACTTCAAATCCCAGAATTCCCCAGCTAGGCAGAATGTGGACAGTACATACAAATCCTTTGTGCTGCTCGATAAAGAGTAGTTCTCAAACTGCCCTCTGAGGGAGAGAAGGAGAAGTCAAATTCTACCTTCCACATATGGAAGGTGAGAACCTGGGATTATGGTATCTGGTGTAAACCTGGGTAGAGACAAATGGGGACCTCTTTATCATTGATTCAGTTTCAAAATGGCCTCCTCTCATGCCAGTCACCTTGTTTTCCCTTTTAAGTAAGTAGCCAGAATAGCTGTGAAGGAGTCTGTGCCAATATATCAAGAGAACTCAAAGAACAGACGACACTTCCTTCTAATGGCAAAGAATGGCAAAATCCAGGAGCCTCTGGATCCCTTTTGTGAGTTTGATCCCTTATATTTACTTAGCCTTAGATGATCTTTTGACCTTCTCAGGACTTCCCACAACCCATTACCATAACCGAGACATTTACTCAAAGAGATGACTCCCCCAGTAGAGAAGCATGTATTTCAATCAGAGAATAATTAAAAGAAGCAAGCAAATAGGTAGTTCTAATATTTGAAGCATAATTTTTATGTTCTTCCCCCTGCTTTCATTTGGATGAAATGTTTGACTGCCTCTTTCAAAGAGGAGGTTGGAGCTATCTTGGATCTTTCCCTGGGACTCTGATCACTCAATAAATTTTGCTAGAACATTTTGGGCATCTTCCAAAGTATCATCAAGAAAGCTGTTCAGAAAACGATACGTGATAACATATGAACTTGCTCCACCAAACACAGACCCAATAACAGGTATAAAATCAAGAGCCAGTTCCACAAGCGACACAGCTACCCAAATAGATGACCTCGTCAAGAGAGAAAATACCAATTCTGCATCGATCACATTGCCTAACGGGGTTTTCTTGATAGCTGACTTCAGCTCTTTAAATTCTTTTCCCGTCTGAGCTGCCAGAAAACGGAGGGACTGGTCGTCTAAGCCAAACACCTTGCAGAAATATTTCAGAGTATCTACCAAAATTACAATATCACAAGCCATAGAGAGTCCCGGGACAGGCACCGCTCCACAAACGCAAGATACCCAAGCTACCTTTTTTATATAGGATTCCATTAGTTCTTTTTTCTTCATCAATTCATTTTTTGAGAAAATATGCACAGATAGTGTGAAAATATTCTTCTTGTGCTCAGGAAGTTCAGCGGCCATTGTCTCTCGCAGGAGAGGGAAATCATACATGTGCACCTCCCAGCTGGAGATCAGGAATACTCTTGCAGAAGGCTCACCTAGGCTTTTCAAATTATCTTTGCAGTAATTCCTTATGGTCTCCAGGGCTTTCTCCATATTGAAATTTCCTTTCCTCTTTTCACTTTGTATACTGGCATCTATTTTGCTGCACACAAAGTAAAACTTCCTTCCCATTCTTTTTATTTCCTTTGCCAGGAAAGCATCATTTTCAGTTAAGCGAATGGAGATAATAATAATAAAGAAATCATATTTTTCAAATTGGACCTTCTTCAGATATTCCGTTGCCTGAAATTTAGGTGTTCCAATTCCTGGAAGATCCCATAATTTCATATTAGGAAAAGAGGGGTGAGGAAATGCCTTTGGCTTCATGGTTTCTTCTAAAGGCCCAACCTTGGCTGCCGTATCATCATCATCATCACTTACACCCCGGAAGGCATTGACAAAGGAGGATTTACCAGATCCTGTCTGTCCAGTAACTGCAATATTAAGGGGGAGATTTTGCATTTCATTTAAGCTTTTTTGGTATTTAGCTGCAACTTCAGGGATACTGCCTTCATCCAAATCTCTCTTTAAGTCTTCAAAATCTCTCTTTACAATATCCTTTACAATTGTATTGCCCATAGTTGCTCTTTGGATACTGCAGTGTATCTGGAAAAGAAAAGAGACATTTGGATATTTCTCATCTGTCTGGCACTTCGAACTTTATAATTGGAGAAGACCCCCGAGAATATTGTGGACAGTCAAGAAAGAATAACAGAGTTGGAAGGGACTTGGAGGTCTTCTAGTCCAGCCCCATGCACAAGCAGGAGATCCTATACCATTCTAGACAAATGGTTGTCAAATGTCTTCTTAGAAAGCTCCAGTGATGGAGGATCTACAATTTCTTGAGGCAAGCTGTTCCAGTGATTAATTGTTCTCCCTGTCATGAAATTTCTACTTAGTTCTAGGTTGGATCTCTCCTTGATTAGTTTCCATCTTTTATTTCTTGTTCCTGCCTTCAGGTATTTTGGAGAAGACCTTAGCCCCCTCTTCTGTGTGACAACACCTCAAATATGGGAAGACTGCGGTCCTGTCACCCCTAGTTTTTTTTTAATTGGGCTAGACATACCCAGTTCTGGCAACCTCTCATCATATGTTTTAACCTCCAGTCACTTAATCATCTTTGTTGGTCTTCTCTGCACTCTTTCTACAATCTCCATATCTTTTTTGTATTGTGGTGACCAAAACTGGATGCAGTATTTCAAGTGGGGTCTTACCAAAGCAGTATAAAACTATAGTAACACTTCACTTGATCTTGATACTATCCCTCTGCGGATGCAACCTAAGGACTGAATTGGCTTTGGGGGCATATGCAGCACACTGCTGGCTCATATTTAAGTGGTTGTCTATTAGGACTCCAGGATCTCTCTCACAGTTACTGCTGTTGAGCCAGGTGCCACCTACTCTACTGTATATTCTACTGTATACCCTCTAACTGTACATTTCAGTCATCCCGCCAAGTTTCAGTAATGGCAACACTATCATACCTGCCCTCGTTCACTAGTACTTCAGGTTCACCCTGTGTATTCATTATAATTTCTGCATTAGTGTATAAGCATCTGAGTCCTTTTTGACTGACCCATTGTTTGCTTCCTACATCTCCTGTTTCGTATTTCAATTCCCCTACTTTCTTAACACTTGATTGATTGCCTCGAGCTTTATGCTTGGGATTAGGCTCTAAAATTTGGTCTTTCTCCACCTCTCAGTATTAGTTTAAAGCCCTTTGGATAAGATGAGCCAATTGGTTTTCTATGAAGTGTAGCCCATCCCTTGCCAGAAGGTAGGTGCAGATATTGTAGACCGTAGTTTCTGAATCCAAAGTTTTCTTGGCAGCAGCATCCCCTGAGCCAGTGGTTTCCTTCAAAGGTTTTGTGTTCACTAATTGAATGCCTACCATTTGTTGGGAGTACAGAGGAAACCATCACCTTTGCCCCCATCTCTTTGGCCAGGGGTAGGCCACCTTGGCTCTTTTAGACTCGTGGACTTCAACTCCCAGAATTCCTGAGCCAGCCATGCTGAGGGGAAAGGGAGAGGTTTCCAAGCTGAGCCATGCTGGCTCAGGAATTCTGGGAGTTGAAGTCCACGAGTCATGAGGGGGCCATAGTTACCCCATGCTGGCTCAGGAATTCTGGGAGTTGAAGTCCACGAGTCATGAGGGGGCCATAGTTACCCCATGCTGGCTCAGGAATTCTGGGAGTTGAAGTCCACGAGTCATAAAAGAGCCAAGGTTGCCTACCCCTGTCTTTGGCTCTCATGCCTAACTGTCATAACCTCTTGATATTGTTTTCCTGCTCTTGTTGTATCATTTATCACCACATGAAAGAGGAGAAACAGGTTATAATCTGTTGAATTAATTATTTTGATAAGCCCCTCAGTCAATCTTGCTCCTGGGAGACTGCAAACCTCCCTAGATAGATTGTCTGGCCTACAAATTGCTGGTTCAGTTCCTCTGAGCAGTGGGTCTGCTATCACCAAGACACACACCTTTTTTTTTTTCTTGAGGAAGTCTGGTCTATTCTTTTTCCTATCTTTGGTGCACTTGGTGTCCCTTCTCTAGGTGTGTGTGAGCTTTCTTCCAAGGGGATATTATGAATTCGAACGTTTGGCTCCAGGCGGCCTGGATGAGACTGGCTTGGATTTCTTTCCTTTTTACGAGTGACACGATGCCATTGGTCTATCTCTAAAGCAGTGGTTCTCAACCTTCCTAACGCCACGACCCTTTAATACAGTTCCTTATGTTGTGATGACCCCCAACCATAAAATTATTTTCGTTGCTACTTCATAACTGTAATTTTGCTACTGTTATGAATCGTAATGTAAATATCTGATATGCAGGATGTATTTTCATTGTTACGAATTGAACATAATTAAAGCATAGTGATTAATCACAAAAACAATATAGCAATGCTCGCTGGAGAAGCTTACTCTTCCTTGCTCAAAAATNGGAAGGAAGGAAGGAAGGAAGGAAGGAAGGAAGGAAGGAAGGAGAGAGAGAGAGAGAGATTGAGAGAGCCCCCCATCCTCATCCCAGCACCTCTTGCCCTCTCCCAGCCACCCCCTGGGACCTGCCCGCCCCTCCAGCCTCCTGAGCGCCATCGCAGCGGCGGGGTCGCGGGAGCCCCTTTCCACGCCGCACAGCCCTTCATCACCACGAGCCTTCCCCGACTCATCGCACACAAGAGGGGTGCGGCTGGAGCGCCAGCTCCCTCTCGGAAGGCGCCACATCTTCCCTCCTGGCCTAGCCGGCTGGCCTCCAACGCACATGCGGGTATCACCGCCGCCTCGCCCTCTTCCCTGCTGCCTGGCCACTTCCAGAGCCTGGAGCCCAGCAAGCCAGGAAGGAGCCGCTCCTGCCCGCCAGCCCAAGGGCTGCACCGGGCGCCAGAGGGCTGAGGCAGCCTCCGACGGCAATAGAGGCGGGCCAGGTGGCGCGGGGGAGGCTCCAGTGCAGGGTGGAGCACGGCCGGGGCGGAGCACGGCCGGGCAACCAGGAGGTGTGGGGACCGGCTTGGTGCCGCAGCTCAGCTCAGCCAGCAGCGGCAGCAGCAGCAGAGCAGCCCAACGGCAGTGCCAGCAGCGGCCCAGACCCAGCTCGGCTCGGCCTGGCCACCCACGCAGCTGAGCTGGCCCGGGGCAGCGTCGGGGGCGCGCGTGATGGCGCTGTGGCAGCAGGACCATGTGCTGTCGGAGAAGGGCACCCTGGAGGCGTAGGAGCCAGCGGAGGAGGAGGAGGAGGGCGGCAGCGACCGGATAGAGTAGCGGTGTCTCGGTTCCTAAGACCATCGGAAATATGTATTTTCCGATGCTCTTAGGCGACCCCTGTGAAAGCATCGTTTGACCCCCCAAAAGGATCGCGACCCACAGGTTGAGAACCGCTGAAATAGAGGAAGCAATAACCCCGCAGGCACATCCCCCCCCTCGGGAGAGATAGAATAGGAATGGGTTCTGACAACCGTTTATTTTTAAACTTCTGTGTTGCTCATACAACCATCGCAGCATCCCTGGAGTTATGTGATCAAAATTCGGGAACCTGCTGATGGGCATATATTTATGATACATGCAGCATTCGGAGCCCTGGGATTGCCATTTGCAGCCTTCCCAGCTGGATTCCAACAAACAAACAGGATGGAGCAAGCCAGATTCACTGGATGACCTCATGATTCACTTAACAATTGTGGCAAGAAAGGCTGTAAAGTCAGGTGTGACTCACTCAGCAACGTCCTTGCTTAGTAACAGAAATTCTGGCCTCAATGTGGTCCTAAACTGAGCAGTACCTGTAGAAGCACAGGAGAATGAACAGTGAATCCAGACTCCTCAGGACACAAGGACTGAATCCCACTTACACACTCTTATGTGGCATAGGACAGGGCTTTTCAACCAGTGGTACGGGTACCACCTGTGGTACATTGGCACCTGGCAGGTGGTACGCGACCTTCCTAGAAAAGTGGTAGTGGGGGAGGGGAATGAGCTGAACTGGTAGCAGCACCGCACAAGCCTGAGCGAGAGATATCTGGAGCTGCAGGGCTGTCAGGGCTCAGCGGAAGCGCCAGGATCAGTGCTGCTTTCCAGCTGATCGGCACTTCTTCGGGGCTGTCAGGGCTCAGTGGAAGCGCCAGAATCAGCGCCAGGCTCCAGCTGGAGCTCGGCGCTGATCCTGGTGCTTCTGCTGAGCCCTGAAGAAGCACCAATCAGCTGGAAAGCAGTACTGATCCTGACGCTTCTGCTGAGCCCAGAAAAAGTGCCGATCAGCTGGAATGTTGTAGCATCTCCAGGGTCTTGTGATTTACATTCAGATGCTTGGTAACTAATTCATATTTATGATGGTCACAGTGTCCCAGGGTCATGTGAAGTGACCAAAACCTGCTGCAACCACTCAGCAGATGGGGGGGAATAAAAACCAAACACCCCACCATCCCACCACCGCTGCCAATCCTCAACATAAATGCTCACAACAATGAAAACCTCGGACAGGACGAAGAGCGCCACCGAGTGGGCAGGCAGGTGTCTTGCTCGGCTGTGGCTTGGGGGTACTTTTTTCAGTGCCATTGTAACTTCAAACAGTCACTAAGCGAACTGTTGTAAGTCGAGGACTACCTGTACTTTATCACTTTTTTCCTTTTTGGGGGGGGGTCATCAAATTTTTGACACCTTGCTAGGCGACTGGTGGTACTCGGATGTTGCCATATTCTAAAAGTGGTACAATGGGTGAAAAGGTTGAAAAGCCCTGACATAAGCCATCTGATCATGTTTCCCATCTGGTCTAAATCCTAAAGGTCTTAAATCCTTCCAAAACCCTGGTGGCCCAGTGATAAGAATGCAGCATAGCAGGCTAACTCTGCATTCCCATCGCCAGCAGTTCGATCCTGACCAGTTCAAGGTTGACTCAGCTTTCCATCCTTCCAAGGTTGGTAAAATGGGGACCCAAATTGTTGGGGTCAATATGCAAATAATGCTTCTACATTGTAAACCTCCAAGAGACTGCTATAAAGCACTATGAACGAAATGTAAGGCTAAATGCTATTGCTATTGCTAAAGCTGAAATCAGTCTTGCAAACTTACAAGTACTTCACTTCTCAGTCCCT